CAAATAGAATTGAGATGTGCAAAACAGGTCTTTTTTTTTTGTTTTTTTCTTTTGCTACAGAGCACTTGCACCGCTGGGAGGTAGAAACAGAGAGAGACAGAGAAAGGGAAAGTGAGAAAGCACCCCCGGGGTGGGATGGGCACACCGCAATCCATTCTCCTGTCAGGATTGGGGGCACACACAGACATGGGCCTGGCATGTTTTTCAGGCTGAAACACCGCGGGCGCCCTCCGCCCCTCCCTCCCCTTGGCGGCCGGGGGGGAGCCACCTTCCGTGGTGGCTGGAGCCCATTTCCTCTTTTGGACCTACGGAGCTGAGAGCCCCCCAACCAAGGGCGTTCTGGTGGGCCGCCACAGGGGTCTGAGGGAAGCTCTCCTGAAGACAGACCCAGCTGCCAGGTGTCATCACGCGTGAAACGCACACAGGGTACCGTGGGGGTTTTTTGGTTTTTGGGGTTTTTTTAGAATTATTTATTTAATTTTATTTATTCATTCACTTATTTTAATTTGACCAGAGAGAGACACAGAAAGAGAAAGTGAGCAAGCAAGCCACCAGGTCCAGGGTTCAAACTGTGCTCAGCCATGTGGGAGTGTCCAGCGCCTCAGCCACCATGCCACCTGCTGGTCCTCATAACTTTATGTATTTATTAATTTAAAAATTTTGACCAGTGAGGGACAGCGAGAGTGAGAGCGAGAGAGAGAGAAAGTGAGAAAGCAAGCTGCCAGGTCTGGGATTCAAACTGTAGTCGGCCATGTGGGAATCCAGCGTCCTTAACCACCACGCCACCTGCTGACACGTATAATTGTACATTTATAGAGTGCGAGCAGACCTTCCTGTGGTATTGTTCCCACAACCCACCTAAAAAAATGTCTTCTACCTGCTCGGGGCCACTGGACATCTACCTCGATGCTCCCTAGGAGCCTTGAGAAAGCCATCCTCCCGCAACAAGGCAGAGACCACCTCCCAGTTGCCCTGGTAGCGGCCACATTGTGAGGTGGTTCTGGCTATAGGCAGTGGGCCTGAGCGGGAAGAGGCAGAGGTGGTGGGGGCAGTGACAGTGTCCTGGCCTCTGCCTGCCCCCACCCCCTGCCCAGGGCCTTCCACCACTCCAACATCATGAGTAGCGCCTACCACTGGGAGGCCCGGCGCCGGCAGATGGCTTTGGACCGGAGGAAGTGGCTGATGGCCCAGGAGCAGCAGCAGCAGCAAGAGCAGGTGCATGAGAGAGGCCAGGTCCATCGGGGCCCTTCCTGGGGCAAGGAAGGAGTAGGGAAGGCACACAGACCCCTAGGGGGCCATTATCTGGTGAAGATGGTTTGCTGGGGTAGGAGGAGAACAAGACCACTTAGCTCCACTGTGTGTGTGTAGGGGTGTATGTGTCTGGTTGGGGGAATGAGATGGAAGTATGCTAGCTCCTGACCTGGTTTTACTCTGTACTACTCTGGGATGGGCACAGGTACTAGGCCTAAGATTTTTTTTTTTTTAAAGAATTATTTTATTTAACTCTATTTATTTTAATTTGACCAAAGAGAGACAGGGTGAGAGAGATAGAGGAAGTGAGAAAGCAGGCAGCCAGGTCCGGGACTCGAACTGCAGTTGGCCATGTGGGAGTCCAGTGCCCTTAACCATCATACCATCTGCCAGCCCCCCC